TATATATATATATATATATATATATATATATACATGATTTTTTTTTTTCTGTGAAGTTTTGTAATTTCACCTCTTTAGTCACGACTGTGGTGAAGAGAAATTATCTATTTCTGACATTGTTTTATTGTTGTTTAGATAGTTATATGGATATGAGGCACTACATTTTGCTGGGTTATTGATTGTACTGGTTATTTGAAGAGGTAATGTTACTTGGAGATGAGAGAAGGCTCAATAAAGAAATATATTATTATCTTAGAACAAGTAATACCAGTTAAATTTGATATTGTGAGTTTTTATGCATTTTTAATGGTATATGTTTTTTATAAATAATATTATTTCTGCTATGCAATGTTTGTGACTAACAAACCTTTATTCTTCTGAAAAATGTGTTTAAATGAAAATCTGAAAAAGGAAATATGCAAATTGAAAAAGGACATCTTTTTTTTTTTGTTACAGCTGGTGGAAGGAATCCATATTCTAATCTAGAAAAGACATCTGTACTTCAAGAGGTAGTGTACAAGTTTTGTTTTTATGTATATATAATGAATACTTTCTGCCATAATGTAATAAAAATTCCCAGTGTGCCCTTGAAGAAGAAAGGTCCACCTTTCGAAAGCACTCAGGTTATAGGGTTTTTATTAACACCCATGAAATCTATAAAAGGACATTTGATTTTCTCTGCATAATTATGAAACTGTGTGTACTTTGACTTCCAGTATATATACTATAAACATTTGGTTCTGTATGTTTTTAACAAAGACCAAAAGCATTACATAACTTGCTGTTTATTCACTGTAAATGTTCCTTCAAGTCTATTTTCATTGTTGTTTATCGTGATATAGGTCTCAAATTTGAATTTATTACTTGATTAGTAGAAAATTGCTCTTTGTGTTAAATCTATTTGTAATAAAGAGATTATAACAACTGGCTAGTAAAAATGTAACATGTACATTCAGACTAGTAACACAACAAGTTAAGCAGCTTTTTACTCTCATCCTCTATCAATGTACGTGGGCTGTCTACTGTCAATGATCCCTTTGCCACCCTCCTCAGCCAAGTTGTTCTACTCTGCATCTTATTTCCTTCTTTACCTAGCTTTTCGTGTAGGGTGGTCTGTTTCGTCTAATCCAGGTTACTGTGAGGCATTGTCCATAACCTTCTCCATCTTGCCAGGCAATAATCCCCCCCCCTCCCCGTTGGTTTCTTTTATGTGGTTCTTTTGGATCTTACTTGATCTGCTTTGAGCCACTAACCTCTTGTTCCTTGTATAATTTATCTTTCAATATATATATATATTATTCTACTTGCTTGTGGTTAACATTGTTAAGACATTTACACCTTAGATGCTTACTGTAGTCTTTATCATGGGGACTGGTTCATGTTGTTTCCAGTTCATTCCTTTCTACCAAAGACTGGCTGACTAGGAAGACAATTGGATGTTTTTTCCATCTGTCTCCCCTTTGTTTCATCACTGTATGATCATTCCAATCCTTATCATTATTTGTGTCCTGTATGGGCTGTCCTTTTTCATGGAAACTGTCACCTCCTATTATTACCATGGTAGACCACTTTCTCTAGGGGTTTGTACCCTTCTACTTTTACTAGTTAGGCTCATTAACTCATCTGCCTCGTATATTTTTTTAGGTGAGTCTGTCCATATGGTTTTTTCTGTCTCCTCTTGCCAGTTTTGGCATGTTACAACATCTCTTGCTTCTTTTTCTCCCTGTTATTTGGAGGAGATTTTACAGACTGACATGTAGACAACACCTAATATGTTCTCTCCTATTGCTTACATCATTGGGCATTTTGCTATGCCTCTGGTTTTTGCCTCCTTTCAGTCACCATTATCCAGTCAACCCAGAGGCTCTAGTAGGCTCTACAATATCTATCTCCTGTAAGTATTTCAATAACACAGAACAGCTTAATGCCCTAGCCACACTACACATTTTCAGGTTCCTTCTACCCTTGCGACATGTTACCACTACCACTGTATTTACTCTGTAAATGTCTCTGCTATTTAAATGTAATATATGGTTTAATAATAACAAATTGGGTGAAAAGTATCCCTTGCTTGAGATGGTTGTGGTTTCCTGTTGGGTGCTACTCCACTAGGTGATCTCTGGTTTCATGGACATCACACCCCGTGGGCTTTTACTTTATGTAGCTATTTCAGAAAGGAGCTCATCTTTGTAATTGATCAGAACTGGCCTCTCCACCATTTTCATTATGGGATTCTAGCTCTTAGTGGTACAGGTACGTAAGTAGCATTTTGGAAATTAACATTTTCCTCAACAGAAAATGTTAAATTTAGTGTAGAAAGCTAGTTATTGCATAGTAGCCATAAAATGTACTGCTAGTTGTTACTCTCTATTTTTTAAGACTTAAAGTGAATTAATATATAAATTCAAGTGTCACTAAGATGCATCACTTCATGAAACCAGTAGTGTCATCTGTTTCATTATATAGAGTGAATTATAGTATAAAGTCAGGTATTAGTATGATGTAGTTGTGTTATTTTAAATGGAACATTTTAGTAAAACAAGTGTGTTTTATAAATAGAATGTATTGCTAAAACAAGTTACAAATGGAATATATATTAGTAAAACAAGTTATAATTGGAATATATATCAGTAAAACAAGTTATAATTGGAATATATATCAGTAAAACAAGTTATAATTGGAATATATATCAGTAAAACAAGTTGTTATTGTAAATGGAACTTGTTAGTAAAACAAGTTGTTATTGTAAATGGAACTTGTTAGTAAAACAAGTTATAAATGGAACTTGTTAGTAAAACAAGTTATAAATGGAACTTGTTAGTAAAACAAGTTATAAATGGAACTTGTTAGTAAAACAAGTTATAAATGGAACTTGTTAGTAAAACAAGTTATAAATGGAACTTGTTAGTAAAACAAGTTATAAATGGAACATGTTAGTAAAACAAGTTATAAATGGTACATATTTGTGAAACAAGTTGTTTTTATGAATTCTCTGATAGATTTCTACTAACTTGAAATGCTGTTCAAATGTAATTATGTAGAAACTTGACAGAATTGACAAGCAGTTGCCAGTTATAATTGAACTGAAAATACAGGACATTGTTTTTGACTATTAAAACATTCTTTGTTATTAGTCATCTTGTCAGATGTTTTTTCTCTCTGATTAATGTTGGGAATGGAAATATGTCTAAAAAGGTTCCTGATAATATGAATACAAGCTAAATATACAAATATTCCCACTGTCACTATTGTATTAGTATCTATAAGATAAACAGAAACTTTGTTTTACTACATATATTTATAAAAGCTGCTTTAGTTTACACATGTACATTTTTGTATAATTTCAAACTCCATCTTTTGTTGTAAATAAATATTTCAATTATTTCTAAGGCTCGAATTTTTAATGAAAGTCATGTGAATCCGAGGAAATGTGGACACATCTTGACCAAAGTTTTATATCTGCTGAACCAGGTATGGTGATTGCTTAAGTATTTTATCATGTTGGTATAACAATAAGTATTTCTTTCGTTCTATCTGGTTGTTATTATTTGACATATATTTGTGTAATTTTGTTTTAACTTTGAAAAAATTGGTTTTCATGTAGAAAATAAATACCAGGCCACCTGGGAAGGTTATGTACATTATTGATAGTTCATTGAGGGTAAACATTTGGAACCTAGTTTATTACAAACATCTAAACTCTTGTGACCAACATAAAGACCTGCCAAACAGATAAAGGCTAAAAATACATTTTTTTATTTTCTTAATGATATCAAAGTAAGAAGATCAACAGGTTGAAGCAATTGAGGATTTTGAGGAATTTGTGCAATTGCTTCGTGATAATTTCCAAGTTTAAGACATTTTTTTTTTGAGAGAGCAAAAACAAAATATATGAAAGTAAAATGTAATACACGTTTATATAAAAAATAACGTAAGAAATGACCCTGTTGTTGAGAAACTAGGTCAATAAATAGATGAAGTATAAGTAGCCTAGATCTCAGCTAGAGGTTTTTAAGAGTTTGTGTTAAAAATATGCTAGGTCAGGAAAGCTAGAGAGTAGTGGTATTGAGAATCATAAATTACAAAAGTTATAAAAAATTAAGCTATTGCCTAGCAATGAAGTAGATGCACTAGCACCAGTGATTGACAGTGATTTATTAATGACGTCAACTCGTCAGTACTGTGGAGGCTACATAAAAGTTGATGTTAACATGCAAAAGCGTTATTTGATGATATATTCCTTACACAATGCTGGTGTACTAGCACAAGTAAGAAGGCAACCAACTAACCCATCATAACACTAACCAATCACTTGAGGGTTTTGGTTGTGGTTTTGGAACAGTCCAATGTGTTACCAGAATTAACCAATAAGGTGTGAGAACTACTTGAGGGTAGTGCTGCATACTATTTGGGAATTCATAGGAACACATAGTAAAAATTGTTTAAAACTCGTGTTCAATCTCCTCCGGAATCCTTAGCAGTCTTTCCAAGATAATGTTGAAAGTATCCAATGTGTAAGGATACTCCTCGCCAACTATGTTGTAAGTAGAATTTCTGACTCTCAAGCTTCAATCAATGTAGTTATAGTAAGAAAGATTTATAATGTGTTGACTGTAACTTAGTAGAAAGTTACACAAGATAAATTGAAGATTTTTGTTAATAATTGAGAAGTTAACTATATGCCTAATATTGTGATTGTGCATTGTGAAATGAAGATAATTAAAGACTATTATATTAATAACTGAAAGATTTAGACTCAGTTTATTTATTCTAACTGTAAATTACCTCGAGTTAGCGACTTGTGAGCTCCACTCGCCACTGCAAAAAATAAATTTGGTGTAATCAGCAGTATAATTGAAAATCCAGCAATTAGCTCTAGCCACTGCAAAAAATAAATTTGGTGTAATCAGCAGTATAATTGAAAATCCAGCAATTAGCTCTAGGGGCGCTGCCCATTACAAGGTGAAAATTTACCAAAACCTTCTTTGCAATGAAATATTTGCAAAAATTAAGTGATTTCTTGTAGCTTTTTTGAAATGGGAAATATTTACACTAATAGAATAACTTTTTTTTATGCAGTTTGCCACACTTGTAGTCACTGTTTATTATTATTTGTAGGGAGAGCAGCTTGGAACCACTGAAGCTACAGAAACTTTCTTTGCCATGACTAAATTGTTCCAGTCAAAAGATCCAGTCTTGCGGAGGCTTGTATACCTTGGCATTAAAGAGCTGACCAAAGTTGCTGAGGATGTCATCATTGTCACAAGCAGGTACAGCTTAAATAGAGAAAAATGTTCGCTGATATATTCAGTAGTTAAAGGATTTAATATAAAATTGGTTTTCAATAACAGTTCAACATAGAGTTAGCTTCTAATATGTATGGAGTGTGTTACATGATTGTAGTAATTTTGGTCATTAATTGTGTTTTTGAATTGTGTTAAATTTTCTTTATAAAGCACATCGTTCTCGTTCATTGAAGGCTTTATTTATATATATATTTACTTATTTTTGTAGCTTGACCAAGGATATGACAGGAAAGGTAAGATACATTTTTTGTAAACTTTAATAGCTTCCAAAAGGTTTTAACTACCAATTTTGATTTTCAAGTCGTGGGGTTGTGAGAAACATGCACCAAAGTCTTAATAGCTGAGTTATGATAATCAAAGTGAATGACTTAAAAACTTCTGTTGACATTCTTTTTGTAGTTCAAGTACATATGAAAAAATAGTATCACTAGTGTATAACCAAGTATTAGTTATAAGTATAGCCTCCAAAATGGTGGAAGATTGAAAACTTTGTAAAAAAAGATGAGTATAACAAATCAATCTACGTCCAGAAAATAAAGTAGTGCTGCTGAGTTTGGGATTATTTATAAATGTTATTTTATGGTTAGGATATTAACTAGGTGTATATATGATTCAAAAACACTTTTTTGCTTTTTTTTAATGGTTTAGTTGTGATATAAACTTCTCAAGAATAAATTATTTGAACCTTGCCACTTTCAGAAACACTTGTCTCAGCTGTTTTTGTCACCAATGCTTGTAAAAGTTAATTTTTGAAAGTTCTGTTTACATATGTTGTAAGATCAGTATTGCAATGTTTTTTTATATACTACAGTGTGAATAGATAAAAAACAAAAAAATAATTTTAGTTTAAGAAACAATTACTGAAAAATTTATATTACAATAAACTTCATAGTTTCTTTAGGGTAAATATAACCATATTCATATTTTATTTTTGTGTTCTCTATTTGATATATATGGATACATATATATATAATGATTATTAAGAAGTTCTTAGCAAAATCCATTGTTAATCCCGGCCATCACCTTAAAGTCATAACAGATAATACCTGTACATTGGGGATATCCCATCTACCGGATAAAATCCAAATGCTGATGTTAAAGTAACCAGCAAACATGGAAAATCAATTAAGGGTATGGATATAAGTGCTTACACCCACAATATTTCAATTCCTATGTACCCCTGCATTGACCTAATGAACCTCTATACCAATTTTGGGGAAGATCCATCCACAGTCTGTGAATTAGTTACATGGACATACAACAGACAGTATTATTATATTTATATAGATTCCAGGATGGAAAGACTAACTTCAAGTAACTGGGCTTGTCTTGGCTTTCCCATGTTATACTTGAATACATTTTCTAGAGAAAGGGTCCTGGTTGGGAATATGAACTATGTAAGAACTATTAACATAACATAACAACATTTTGGGACAACATGGGACCTATTGGTCCATCTCAGCTGTTCCATCGTCTAAACTAAATTAAAATGATTAAAAAATAATAATAATAAATAAATGAAATAAAAAATCTTAAATCCAGCCCTTTTCATTCATATACTCATCAAGCTTTTTCTTAAACTCACTTCAATTTACTGTCTCTACAACATCTGAAGACAATCTGTTCCAAAGGCCAACCGCCCTTTTAGAAAAATGAAACTG